ATTGTAACGTAATTGTTGAACTTGGAACGCAAAGATGAAAGATGAAATGTAATTGTTTTGTAATCGTTGGATTATCGAAAGCACGCATTCATTGTGATTTCGATGATTATTTTGTAACAATATATGCAGACGTTATCGAACAGAAAACAATTGTTTTTTTCTTTTTTATTCATTCGTTTATTCCTGCTCCACGCCCCCCTCGATGTGATCAGTCTTTTAATACGTCTCTAACTTCTCCGCAGCTTACAAAGTATTTGAGGAACTCTAATATCTCTTCCATGGAGGATTTACAAATCCTGAGCGTGACGTGAGTAGGTACATTAAACAATAAAGAGTTCAGTTACCCCCTTTTCTCTCCCGAGGCTCTCTCGGTTGAGAGAGGAAAAATAAAGGAAAAGTGCGCGAAAATGCATGAGATGTAACGAAAGGACACGTGTAAAATACAAATCAAATAAAACAACAGTTTGCTGATCTATGTATTTACTTGAGGTTCGCGGTTTACGCAGGCCGACGTCGGAAGTCACTTTCCACTTTTTCGGGAACTCCGAGGACGGAGACAAAATCCGAGAGTCTTTGAATAAATTGGTTCAACGTCGGCGACTCAGCGAGATCTCACTCGAGTCGACTCACTTCACCTTCCAACAAAAGCCCGCGCTCAAGCTGCAGGTACGTACACAATTGTTCTTTGCCTGCATGTTCTTCAAAAGTGTAGATTTGGCTCTCATCTTCATTTCTTCTCTAGAGTCTCCGGCTGAATCAAGGAAACGAGCATGAAATTCATCCGGGTGATCTATTCGCTTTGTCCTGCGCTGCTCAGGGTAGTTACAGCATAAACTTCACGTGGTACAAGGACAGTATGCTGGTGAACACGAATAAGGCCACCAGGTGAACGAAAAACCTTTATGGGCCCTTTTTGTTGCAAACATGATGAAAATGTCATTGAAAGGAGCACGAACTGGTAGATTAAATTCTGTTTTGTTTGTACCAGGAAAATCTGGTACAAACATCTTCCCAACGATGGCTCCGATCTGCACACGTCGGTACTAACTGTCGAGAAGGCAACTTTGCTCGATGCCGGTCAGTACACTTGTCAGATAGTCGACTGGGGCGTGCAGCAATGTAAGAGCATTTATGTAGACGTGAAAGATGAGCCAGATGTAAAGGTGATGCCAATGAGTGCTACTATAGACAAGGTGATCTGGATAGTTCAGCACTTTGCAAGAGCAGCTTTCAACAATCTTAAATGACTGTCTCCTCTCTAAATCGGTCTTCCTTTCAGGGAACCAATATACAGTTAACATGCATGACACCAAACGTCCCCAACATTGGAATTGGATTTGGCTGGACAAAAAACAAAGCTCTGCTGAAGCTGGAACTTGGCAGCGAGGTCTGGGAAGATTTATATCCCACTGGAAGCATATTAAAAATTACAAATGCGCAGGTACTTGGCCAAACAGAGAAGAACAATTTAATCCACATAGCTATACAACAATATCTATATAATCAATAGAGTAAATTCAATCCATAAAGTTTCTTATACACGTTTGTTGTATTAAATTCTGCAGAAATCTGCTATATATACCTGCAACGTGGCAGACAAGTCCATGTCCGTCCGCGTAGAGATTGTAAATCGAACGTTAATACCAATCTGCTTGAGGGGGAGGTCTTGGGGCTTGACTTGGCCAGACACAGCCCCAGGGTCCGAAGCATTGTTGGAATGCCCTCGACATTTCGTAGGCAAGAAAGTGTCCAGACTGTGCTCGATGAAAGATGCCACTACCCCCGAATGGCAGACTCCTGACTTTTCTTCTTGCTTGTACGAGCCACTAGTTTCACGTTACAACAAGTTCAAAAGCCTAACGTTGGGATACCAGAACACAACTGGTTCTGAGACGATATTCATCCTGTGGAAGGTTCTGCAGTCGCGTAGCTTGCCTCTCTATCCTGGCGAGGGTGATCGTATTCTGAGTATCTTGGCGGAAATAGAGCGTTATCAGCGTATCATCGACCCATCTGATTCACACGTCTCGACGGAGGCTCTGATACAGATAATCAATCGAGTGCTGAACGACGAAAGTTCGATATTGAGCCAACAGGTATGAAAGATACAAGACCAAGGGAAAATTTAACGATAAAAGGAAAATGTACAAGGTATATTTGTAACTTTCAGAAAGTTCTGTTGCTCCTTCAAATCACCCAACGTAGCCTGATGCATTGGTCTAAGGTGGTCACTCATCCTCAGAAACATTTGTCTCTTTCTGCCTTGGTGGTAGACATTCAAGAGTTGCAGCAACACAACGGAGACAGCATTACCCATTCTCTTCAAATCCCTATGGACGAATCCACGTAATTAATATCTGTCAAATAATATTCATTTTTTGTACGATTGTATCACTTGTATCGTTTGTAGGTATCCAAGTTGGTATGACGACAAGGCAACGGTACGACTGTGGAAAAAAAGACAGCATGGAATAAAGTCCAACAACACCCTTCATGGGATAGTGATTGTTTATAAAAATATGTCTCATTTTCTTCCAGCCACATACGTCAAGGAGCTTGAGTACGTAATCATTGAATCTCCCATTTCCAGTGCTTCAATAATTATTCAATTGTTGTGTAATTATTTTGCTTGTTGTTGTTGTTGCCAGCGATGGCACAGATCTGGAATTTCGCGTCAACTCTCGAGTGGTCACAGTGGCTGTGCCTGCCTTCAGTTCGGACAAACACAATAAAATCTGGGTGGACCTGCAGCTGAAACACGTGGAGAATCAATCGAGTTCGTGGAATGTCTCATGTGGCGTGATGGACGCTGCAGGTTACTGGGATCTGGACAGCTGCATCGCCAACACCTCGCCAGGCGATGCTGTGACGCATTGCCTCTGCCCCAGCGCTGGAACGTTTGCGATTTTTCTAACAGCACGCGCTGTGAAAGTATGTTCAAACAAGGTGAAATATTTTACTTTTGATCGCGTGTCGATAGATCACTCGGGGAACGATTCGATTCAGGTAGTAGTCGCAAAAAGGGAACAGACTACGTTCATCGTGATATTTGGATGCGGCAGCTGTTTGGCGCAGTGTCTCATCTCTTCTTTGATTCTTGGGACCTTCTGGTGGAAGAATCGCAGTTGGCTAAACTTTCTGAAACTTCAGTGTTGCGGTGCTTTGGTCGGAGCAATGGCTGTTTTCATTTACGCGGTGCACATCTATCTGCCAGAGGTAAAGCGTACGTTAACCTCTTGCGCTGGCGACTGGTTCATACGGACCATAACGAGTGACCAAACCGTATGTAATAATTCATCGCTTCTTGAACTCGTCGGTATAATATCACTGGATAGAAATTATTACTAAGAAGTAAGAAATTTATTATTTGTTTTGCCTAGGTTATATTTAAATATATTTAAAACTGAAAAAATATTGCAATTTTGGGGCAAAAAATTCTCGACGTGCGTGGCACGTCATTCCAGCGCAAGAGGTTAAAGTGACAACGTTGACTTCTCTCAGAAGCCTGTTTATCACAATTATTTTGTTTTAGAGTTCGTACGCGATTGTAGCGATAGCTCTGGAGGCTTTCCTCTTGATTGGTATGTCAGCGCCGATATCAGAGGCTCTCATCATCTATGCTGGTCTGACTCAAGTTCGACCTAGTCAACATTTTCAACCTACTGTTATTGCAGTGATCACTGGTAATCAAAAAATCGTATTAGAAACCAATCAAAACTTGATATAGATTTCTATCGACCTTTGCATTTTTTACTCAATACAGGTGTCCCTGTCCTGGCCGTTTTAAGCACTGAACTCACACACAAGAGCACCGGTTGGAGACACGAATCGTGGTGGTTAATTTTTGGCAGCGGAGTTTACAATATCTTTGTTACTTGCGCGACGATGATGTTTCTTATATTCGTGTTATTGTACCTGGGGATCCTGCACAAGGCTCACGCTCTTGTCGAAGAGAACGTTATGAAAAAAGAAGTGATAGAAGCCAGGTATGGTCGTCCATCATTGAGTATTTATTGTGAACTAACTCCAGAATTTGCATCAATTCATAACTTGGATTGAGCAGAGCATAGCTTTATGAGGAATTTCCAAACTTGAGAAATAATACGCAAACTAGCTTGTGTACTAGATAATTTATTCGACAGGAACAGTTGGAAAACCATGAAGTAGTATAAAAAGGTCTTTTCTTTCATACGTTAGATGTGTCAGTTTGGAATTCATACTGTTTGTGTAGATACAAAACAGAGAAAGACAGTGACATCTAACGTTAATGAGACAAAAGTATTGCAAAGAGAATTTTGTTAAAATTATTACCAAGTCTTTGAAAATCCATTTGTGCCAAAAATGACAAACGACTAAAACAAAAGTCGTTGTTGTAAAATTTGCGACGTAGGTTTAGGTTAGGTTTAGGTAGGTTTATGTGTCTGCCCTTGTTTTGAAATATTTCCTACAAAATTATACTATTAAACAATTTTATAAAGTGTGAAATTTCCTCTTTTTCAT